AAGAATATTCTCAAGTATTAGCAGCTGAATTGTCAATTCAACCACACCAGAGACTTAATATCTACAACAAAATATTTAGTAGCAAAGTAGTATGGGAGTAACGGTACAGTGGCAAAAGTAGCGGTAGAAATTTTGTAGCAATCATAATAGTGGCAACGGAAAAGTAACTTAGCAAAGATCAATATGTGAAAAGCTCGTAGGCAATGGATCAATGATGGATAATTATGTCGGATGGCATTCATTGTGCAACAGTTATAACATAGGGTGACACAGAACTAGCTCCAGTTCATCAATATAATGTAGTTCATCAATATAATATAGGCATGTATTCCGAATATAGTCATACGTGCGTATGGAAAAGAACTTGCATGACATCTTTTGTCCTACCCTCCCGTGGCAGCGGGGTCCTATTGAAAACTAAGGGATATTAAGACCTCCTTTTAATTGAGTACCGGACATAAGCATTAGCACTTAGTGAATACACGAACTTCTCAAACTACGGTCATCACCGGGAGTGGTCCCGACTATTGTCACTCCGGGGTTGCCGGATCATAACACGTAGTAGGTGACTATAACTTGCAATATCGGATCAAGAACACAAATATATTCATAAAAACATAATAGGTTCAGATCTGAAATCGTGGCACTCGGTCCCTAGTGACAAGCATTAAGCATAGCAAAGTTATAGCAACATCAATCTTAGAACATAGTGGATACTAGGGATCAAATCCTAACAAAACTAACTCGATTACATGGTAAATCTCATCCAACCCATCACCGTCCAGCAAGTCTATGATGTGATTACTCACCACGGCGGTGAGCATCATGAAATTGGTGATGGAGGATGGTTGATGATGACGATGGCGACAGATTTTCCTCTCCGAAGCCCCGAACGGACTCCAGATCTGCCCTCCCGGGGAAGAACAGGGCTTGGCGGTGGCTCCATATCGTAAAACGCGATGAATCCTATTCTCTGATTTTTTTCTCCCTGAACGTGAATATATGGAGTTGGAGTTGAGGTCAGTGGAGGTCCAGGGGGCCCACAAGGTCAGAGGGTGCGCCTCAGGGGGTGGGTGCGCCCCCCACCCTTATGGCCAGGGTGTGGGCCCCCTTCACTTGATTCTTTTGCCTATATTTTTTATTAATTCCAAAACTTATCTTCGTGAAGTTTCAGGACATTCCGAGAACTTTTTATTCTATACAAAAATAACACCATGGCAATTCTGCTGAAAATAGCGTGAGTCCGGGTTAGTTCCATTCAAATCATGCAAGTTAGAGTCCAAAACAAGGGCAAACGAGTTTGGAAAAGTAGATACGACAGAGATGTATCAAGTATCACAAAGCAAGACATGGCAATACGTTGTTGTGTTAGGGGTGACGAAACGCCGTACTATGTATGTTAGTTGGAGCGAGAAAGCAACCGGAGGTATTTTACCAGCTCTTGACAATTATCGGTCAGATGAACCAGAGGGGGTGGGCACAGCCCGGGTGAGCGGCAATCTGCGGTGGCAGAGGCGTGGTGGAGAGGGAAGGACCGGAGGCGGGCGCCACGGGCAGTGGTGCCGCAGCAGAAAGCAGATAGCGGCACAAGGGGCGCGCGGCGGCAGAGCAACAGGTGGCATAGGCGGCGGCATGCAGCGACGGGGTAGCAGCAAGCAGAGACGGGAGGGCGCGGCGAGCAGAGGCTTAGTGGGAGGTAGCGGCGAGCACGGGCGGTTGGACGAGCGGATGACGTGGGCGCGGCCAGGCAGCAGTATGCGTGGGCGTGCACGGTGGGCGGATGCGGGAGCGGCGGAGGGAGCTGCATGCAGCGGCAGTAACAGAAGCAGGAGCGGGCAGCAGCAGTAGCAAAGGGCGCGAGCGACGGCATCAGCAAGCGCAGCGTGAAGAGCAGCACAACAGCAACTAGCAGGAGCAGGGGCGCGGCATGGGCGCACGCGGGACAACACGATGTCTACGGCGGAAGCTAGCCTACGGGGCATGAGAAGAATTAAGGGGAGGTCGAGGAGGAGACGGGGCTCACAGTGAAGCTCGGGGTGGGCTCGTCAAGGCCGGGGACGGTCGGTGAGGAGCGGATCGACATGAGGGATGAGGCGGATCCCGACAAAGAGAACGGAAGTGAGCGGCGTCGCAAGTGCTCCCTGGCTTTGATCCGGTGGTGTTGTCGATGAAGAAGAACTCGCCGGGGCTCCGTGACTCCTTGGAACAGCGAGCGACGGCCGGTGGCCACGACTACGATGGTGGCGCGGCCATGGACGCATATGGCGAGCTCGGGTTCGAGCGTGGGATTCGATGGGGAGGAGGAAAAGTGGCTAGGGTTGCCGGGGGTATCGTGGGCAACGTTCTTATCCAACAAAGGAGCCGAGGGATGCTCGACGTGTGGCGCCGGCCATGTAGATGGCGCCATGGCTGCCCCTGCAGCTTCTGCAGCTTCTGCGCCGGCCATGTAGATGGCGCCATGGCAGCTTCTGTAGCTAGGTAGGAGACGGGTGGGGATTGGGTTGGGCCTGGTACAGGGAGAAAAGATGGGCTATAGTGCAGAGTAGGTGCTAGGCAGTTTCCTTTTCTTTTGTTTCTTTTCTATTTAAATCTGTTTTGACTTAATTTTAACAGTAAAATAGTTTTATAAAAATATAAGACTTAGCCCACAATTCTCAATGCAATTTTTAGGCACTGCCATAAAAGTTTGAGGAATATTTGAATTCATTTTAGTTTTGTTTAAATAGAAAAGATTTACTTTGGGGTTGTTTGGTCCAGTTTAAAATAGGTTAAGGGCATATCAATAATTCAAATAATGTTGGTCTATTCATGAAAATTAGTTAGTGAATTTTTTCAACCCAACGAACATTTTTTTTGAAGAACTAATTTATTTGACTTTAAATTTGGATTTGAATTGTGATTGAGATGAAGTGAGGATTAGCAACAGTAATATGATGACATGACACCATTAGGGGGATATTTCTGTAGCTTGACACTAGGGGTGTTACAGCTCTTCTGTAAAACATGTGACGATCCATTGGTTATCTCGGAGACCAACAATCATGTGAGCCTTGCAATCGTGATGTTGCAACCTGTTCCTTTTGCTTGTGTCACCCCATGTTCATCCAAAGTCCAGGGTGTTTGCTAGCATTGCTTGACTCTGTTGCAATACTATCTGTAGTGCTATCAAATTCACGTTTGCTTCCATTAGTTCGTGCATGAACACATGTGAAAGTCCTACTAATTAACTCCGTGGGTCCTTTCGCCTGGCTATTTTTCGAAGCAGATGTTCTTATTCCAAACCCTCAGTTGAAAGCACGTGTTGTAGAATTTTCTTGCATCGTCAACTGAATCAAAGGTCATGCCCACATATGGAACAAGCGGCCATCGTCAATTGAATCAAAGGTCATGCCCACATATGGAACAAGAGGCTGCGAGGATATTGCATCATCATCTCCATCATCTCTATCGTGTTGCACATCAGCAACATTAATCATCCCTTCCATATTGACTCCATTTGCAGCAGAAATTTGCTCATGATGTAGCTCTCATCATCATCAACTCCAGCGCCAGCAGCCCTTTTTTGGTCGTTTTTATTGTTGCAGAAAATAATAATCACATTGTCAGTAAAAAAAGGTAGAATGTAGAGAGGAATTAGTGCTTCTAGAAATGTATAACTTCAGTTTTTTTCCACCTCATCATACTAAATAAAATGCTTCTACTACATGCTACAACAATGATTCACAATGCTAAGCTAATCAAGGTGACAATGTTTACTACAAATTAGCTTTTGCCTAGTAGATTCTTCATGTCTAACTTTACTAGTGAAGAAACTTGACCAACACAACTACTATGTTTTAATTGCAACATAGCAAACAGAGTCAGAGTCAGTGAACAAAGTCAGCGACCAAGACAACTACTATTTTCACCACACATAGCATTACCAACATGCACATATCGGAACAATTCACCACACATGCACCTTAACTCCCCCCTCCCTGCACATTTTTTAATGCAATTTGTACTTCATGCTAAACACTTCATGCTTCATGAGATTCACGAAATCACAAACACAGTACACCCATTTTCTTTTGCTTCATGCTTCACGAGAAGGAGCTGGATAGCTAGGGTTGGAGCTGAATAGCTAGGGTTTTGAGCAACTTACCCAACCATGCAAGGAGCTAGCTGGGAACCTTTAGCAGAGAATACAGGAGGATCACGAAGCTCCCTTGCAACTCCAGTTTGTGGAATTGACTCATCGGCGAGAATCGGGGTCGATTCGGCTTGCGTGCCACTGGATGGAGCACCGAAGCTTCAAGCCACGACGGCCGACAACATAGACCACACTATGCGGGGAGATGCCATGGTGTGGGAAGGTGTACGGGGCGATGCTGCATCGGCGACGGCGGCCGGTGGTAGAGGCGATGCTGCGTCGGTGTTGGCGGTGGTAGAGGCGATGGTGCATCGGCGGCGATGGTGCATTGGCGACGACGATCTACTACTTGCCTTGGCCTCGGGCGGGGTGTAGAGGAGCTGCAAAGGAGGTGGAGATTTTGCTTCCACATCCAACGGTTGCAGCAACGCTGTGGAAGACAACGAGAGTTGTTGTTCCTGGTGACACGTGGCTTCAATCCGACGGTCGCACGTAATTAAATCCGACGACTGTTTAGCAGGCTGTTAATTGGGGATTTAGCAGGCAGATGACACCTAGCTACCGCCGTGTACACATACTAAAATCTCATTACTGTGGCCCACTTGTCGGCGCCTCAACATCCCTAAATTGTTTTTTAGCTGGACCTCCCAGTGGTTTTGCATAGTGGCTCCAGCTAATGAATGCCCTTCTCTTTCCCCTCACAACAGAGAGAAGCTGATCGATCAGAAAAGGTGATCGAATCAAGCCAGTCCGCCAAAAAACAGAACAGCTTTCCACGCGAGGTCGAGAAGCCTCTCGAACCTTCCGGATTCCCTCAAACCCTAGCTTAAACCCTAGCATTCTCGCCCAAATTGGCGCGGCGGCCTCTATGGCTGAAGAGGAGAAGGCGGCGACGGCGGAGGGGGACGCGACGGAGGACGTGAGCGACGTCGACGACTCGCCCCTCCCGGCGTTGAGGCGCCGCGCGGCGGCGAGCGACGACGAGGAGGAGGGCGATGGCGGCGGCGGTGGGGGGAGTGGTTCCTCGCCGCCGCCGAGGGTGGTCTGGTCCGATTCCGACTCCGACGAGCTGGGCGCGGCCGAGGTGGACGGCGAAGACGAGGGTTCTGAGGAATGCGAGGAGGTTCGCAAGGAGTTCGACGCAGGATCTGGGGGCGGTGGAGAGGCCAAGGAAGTGACGCCGGATGAGGTGGCTGCGGCGCCGGAGGACGAGGGGAAGTACGAGGAGGAGGAGGAGGCCCAGGCTGAGACGGGAGCCGAACTGAAAGAAGAGGACAAGGAGAACAAGGGGTTCGAGCCCGACGCCGTGCCGAGAACAGGTGCCTTCTACATGCACGATGATCGCTTCCAGAACAAGGAAAACCGCGGCCGCGGGCGCCAGAGGTTCGAGCCTTTCGTCTTTCACTGGTTGCTTCCTCTTCGGATGTTCATCTGAGGCTCAGTATTATGTCTCTCTGACCGTACAAGCTAGTCTGAACTCTGAAAGCATGTGCATCGCATTTTAGTTGCAGCAAGGATTGTTGATCAAATTTAAGCCCCCCACATGAAAAATGGCGAGGTATCTTGGTAGGAGCACCTCTACATGCTTAGAGTGAATCAACTGTTCCACGATTGGAGATTGTACGATAAGATCGTGCATTCAAAGGAAACATCGTGTAACACTGTCTAGATGGAACTTGTACAACTACTGTTTGTTGTAAGAGCTTAAAGAGATAAACTGGTACCTAACTGCATTTTGTTACTCTCTGTCATTGATTGCTTGGCACATCTAGAAATTGGTAGAGTTTGAAGTTTGCTCCCTTTTATATAATTTTTTTCCATCTGTATTCACTGCAAATTTTAGCCCATATTGTCTGACTGATATGTCCATGTTATTAATTCAGGGACTTTTCCGGTGGCCAAAAGTTATGGAATTCTAAAGATGACAGCGTATGGCTGCATGATCGGTTTAATGAGATCAATACCCATGATGTTCAACATGACAGTGTCTGTATCACGCCTTCCCCCCTATCTGTTATGTACTAGTATTCTTGCTGACTTCGTTGATTTGCTTTGCTTTGTTTAGACAAGGAGGCCAAGAAGTCCTTTTAGAGCTTGGGCTGGTGGTAGAACTCATGATGTTAATCATGATCGGTTTGATGAGATCAATACCCATTATGTTCAACATGACAGTGTATGTTTCATGCCTTTCCCCCTATCTGTTATGTACTAGTATTCTTACCGACTTCGTTGATTTGCTTTGCCTTGTTTAGACAAGGAGGCCAAGAAGTCCTTTTAGAGCTCGGGCTGGTGGTAGAACTCATGATGTTAACCATGATCGGTTTGATGAGATCAATACCCATTATGTTCAACATGACAGTGTATGTTTCATGCCTTTCCCCCTATCTATTGTGTACTATTATTCTTACTGACTTTGTTGATTTGCTTTGCTTTGTTTAGACAAGGAGGCCAAGAAGTCCTTTTAGAGCATGGGCTGGTGGTAGAACTCATGACGCTAACCATGACCGGTTTGATGAGATCAATACCCGTTATGTTCAACATGACAGTGTGTGTATCACGCCTTTTCCCCTATCTATTATGTAGTGTTCTTACTGACTTCGTTGATTATCTTTGCTTTGTTTAGACAAGGAGGCCAAGAAGTCCTTTTAGAGCATGGGCTGGTGGTAGAACTCATGACGTTAACCATGGTTATCTAGAAGGAACCAAATCCGCATCATATTATCATGATTACAGAGCAGACTACAAGTATGGGAGTATCAACAACTACAATAGATTTCCAAAAGAGGCCAAAACTTCCTATTACAGCGCCAAGAACTACAGAAGTGTTCCAAGAAAATCCCATTCGTACTATGACGAGCAGAACTTTTATAATGCTCGGACAGAATCTCGTATCTGTTATGTGAATGCTAAAGGTCACAACAATGCACCAAATGTTAACAGAGGGAAACCATCAAGGCCCTACCAACCTACCTGGAAGAATACTTTCCAAACCTCTTCAGTGCAAAACAATAGGTGAAGTGTGAATCCATTCCTCCCTTCTTAGAGATTGCTAGCTGAATTTAGCATTAACTATGTTGTTGCCTATGCTTCATAGGACATATTCCAGATCACAGAATGAGGAGGGCTGTTCTGATACAGGTGTGGAAAAGAACTCACATCGAACTTTAAGTTTGCAGAATGAACAAGAGTTTACGTCGAAGCAAGAACCCCCCTTTGTAGAAAGAAGGAAAGCACGACCTGACATTTTAAGTAAGCTCTTCTCATCCTCTGTTCGAATGGCACATAGTTCTCTGAAACCTCAATCTCGTCCCAGTTTTGGAGTGAAGGCATTTGCTCCATCTGGTGAGCATGGAAATACTGCTGGTTCTCTTAGTATGGTAAAAGGCATGCCTAACCTTGGTTCTCACTCAACTGTATCAACATCAAATAGCCAATATTCAGAATCAAGGGATCAAGGAAGTGGTTTGAACATTGGTGTCCCCACAAAGAACAAACTTTCTACTCAGATATTTCATCAAAACATTGCCAGTGCCAGCAAAATTCAGTCTCATCCACAAAATACACTGATAAGTTCAACTGAAGATGCAGAGACCAGTCCCCCTCCTGGGTCAAACAATTCTTTAGCACCGTCTGTTATAATAGTGCAAAATGATAAGGTAGAAGCAGTGAGTGGCTCTCTCCCTTGTGGTGGAGGTCATGCTCTTGATGTTACAGGAGCAAAGGACCTTACTCTTGGCACTCCAGCAGTATTGCCAGGTATGTATTGTTAGTTCCCCTCAAAAAAATTAAAAAAAAGGTATGTATTGTTAGTTGGGATACATGACATATATGAATTTAATTATACAATTGCAACCAGTAGAGCAGTCCAACCACCCCGTAAAAAAAGTAGAGCAGCCCAACCATTTTAAGTTTGTTCTGACTTGGTACAGAAACTTTCATGCAGTCATGCACTTAACAAAGTGGGGAAATGGCAACGAGATTTGATTTCAACAAGTTTTAAATATTCTAGCATGAATTTGATAACTCAAATAGTTCCTTTCTTTGCGATTTGGAGCTCCAGAAGTGCGTATGGGCCAAGTGTCAACTGTAGCCTAGCTGCTAGAGAACTTCAGGAAATACTACTCTGTGGTCATTCCAGAATAAGGATTAGGTCTAGGTATCATTTTATTTGCAGAGTTGTAGCCTTGCTGGTTCTTACCTAATCTTGGGGTATTGTGCTAATGTTATCCTATGTGTTATATTCTCAGTCTGCATTGCCATACTATATACTCCATACTCTTGTACATGTCCTTTTCTTCTGAAATGTGTGCATGCTTGAGGCTCTGGTCCTGCACATTCTCTGTTACCCTAATTTTGAACTCCATTTCCTCGGCAGTTATGAAGTTTGGTGAGCAGCATCCTAGGGGACCTGATATCCCATGCACTGCTATGGCTTTCCCAGGACTTTTGGCTCATCAACCCAGTGACAATTCTGAGCTTAATAAAATTACTTGGTATGTGGGATTCAATTTTCGTATAGATCTTTCGGAAGAAGTATTGCTTCATTTTTCTGATTGGTATCTTGATATTGAAGCTGCAAACTCCATTTAGCAAACTTCTTCATGAGTACTACGGATATTTGTGATTGGTTGTGGTGCACTCTGCAGGGTTCATAAAAAAACTTGTTATCTTGTTAGTACTATTATTTGGGCCAAGCTGTTTTTTTTTAGAAAATGGAAGCTTCATTACCCCCAGCCTCTGCACCAGCTAAGGATGAATACAACCAAATTATTACAAATACAATAAAATCAGCAAAAGGAAGAAGAAAAAAAGGACGCCAAGGCAGATTGCCAATAGACGAGGCATTTGGGCCAACCTATGTCTCAACTCTCAACAGTCCTACACTTATCCATGCCATGCCATAAATGTTTTTTTTTCCTGTAGAAAAATTATCAGACATACAGACAAACTTATCCATGGCGTGCTGAAGGCCTCTCTGTATTTGGCATGGTATCCACGGATACTGTACGTTCCTGTCATGTGCTATTACAGAATAGATTAGATGAATATGACAACCATGGGTTCCTAGGAAGAACATCATGGTACTGAACTGGTTGATTACATGGTAGTTACTGGCAAAAATAGTCTGATTCCATTTTGTAGGATCCTCGAATTTGCTGTTAAGATTGGTTGAACGTGCTTAATTAGCTGAGCTCTTAATCAGTAGCCAGCAATTCTAGTTACATCCATTTTACTATGGTTGGATCGTGTTATCTTATTCTTTGATCTAAACCGGCATTTGATCCCTCTTTGACTTCATTTGCTGAAAATTAGGCTGCAAACATTGTCTGGTGCTACTGGGGTTCTTGGGGCAACATATGATCCTTCTTATATTGGCAGTCATTATCCCCAACCATCAGTATTCCCAAGGTAAAATCCTAACTTCAGTGTCCTTTATGTTACACGCTTTCAGATATCGTGTTCTCACCTTATAGGTGTATGCATATACTTCGCAACAAAGCTAGATGGTATTTGCCTAACTGCAGTTGTAGTTAAATCAGTTGCAGTCAGAGTTTAGCATCTGAACTCTGAAAAATAATCACCTATAACAGTTACAGTTGTGTGTATACTCCTGGTCAGTATTTTTTATTGGCACACTTTGTGGTCTGATTGGTGCTAAAGATTATGGCTATCTTCAACGTAATCACAATTACAGCATGCAGATTATTAGGACACCATAATCTCAGAGCTAGTTTTTCCTATGTCTTCTTACAATCTGTAGCTCAAATTTTCTGGTTACACTGAATTGAATGGCTGGCCTCGACAATTACAAGGTTCTCAACTAGCCTTTCTCTGTACCGTGTTCCCGCTGCAAGTCGGACTTTTGCTTTAGCTGCCTTCCTGGGAGTTCCAGTATAAGTCATAAAACAGTAGAAAAACATTTCTGTGTAGGAAGTCGGTAAAAAAAGAAAATCCTGAAAAGAGGAAGTCAGTATATGGCTTCATGGATATTGGGAATGGGATGTTGGAGGTTTTTGCGTTTCACCATCTGTTCCATCGATTCTTTTATAGGCATCACTGTACAACACACGGATTTGTGTAACTTTATACCTTGTATCTTGGTGTATGCATTTCTTGTCTTCGTTCCAGTTCTTTACAGATTCGAGGTTTTGTATCCATGTAGAGGGCCTGCCAACGGCCTGACTATTTCAAGTCAGATTGCATATTTTGCTTGTGAAACTTGCATAGACAAACAAGAACTACAGTGCAGTACAAGAAAGATGAATACCCATTGCTTTATGTTAATTTCTTCTTTTTCCCTGCAGACACCATTGTGTGACTGAAGTTCCTGTTTTGTTGAACTCCCCTGAAATACCAGGTGAAAGAAACCACTCAGTCTCATTGCATATTCTGTATTCTTTTAGTCTTAACTGATGTTTAAATGGTAATTATTCTCTAGATCTTATTCTATAAGTACAACTTATATTTTATATCTTACCTTTTTGGCGGAGGTTGTAGGTCATGAGCTTGGCCAGCGCAAGAACAAACTTCTCAGGTAAGTTCAGATCATGGGAATTAAATAAGGTCTTTGCGTCGTGTTAACACCAAGTATTGACATCGCTTTAATTTATCAGATACTCAGAGATGAACTTCGCTTTATGAACATGGTGAGTTTAGTGACAACCAAAGTGAATCCACAGTATCAGCTTTCAGTCTTTATCAGAACTACCGCATTCTGCATTGTATTGCTACGGCTGTCAATTATAGCGCACAGCTCAGTACTAAGTCCAAGCCCTGAGCTCCTTGTTTTTTCCTCCCGAAGCACTTTGTCACTGTAACAAAATACACCAGGTATGCCCACTTTTGCGGCTTCCGAGTAGATCTTGGAAAAAGATGCTGCCCTCTTCGTTATTGACAGCACTTAATTGCATTGACTTGTGAATCTAGGTTTTGTTATAGTAACACATAGGCTTTGGATGATGTGTTCACTGTTTCTGGGCAATTGGCACTTTGACTGCCATGGGAGGAAGTTCTCCCCTTTGCTGTTTGTACAACTGTATATTCATATTCTATTTTGGTTTCTTTGGAACCACCAACCTATTCGTTTGCAAAATTCTGCTATGAGTTGGCTAGCATCTCATTCTTCTTGAACTACCTTGGGTTCAGCAATCACTAGGAAACATAGAGCAACCTTTATATGCTCTTAAGTATATGTATTGTGATTTTTCATTGTTTGTTCAATCATGTGTGTGGCATGTAAAAGTCTAAATTAGGTCATACGATTCGTGGGTGTAAAATGTGTAATTTTGCTGCTCGATGTAATCTTGGCAGGTTGGACTGTTTAAGTAAGCAAGTCCTTTTGCTATAGTCCTGTCTCCTGTGCACTGGCCTGCTCCTTCTGCTGGGTCTGGTATTCCATTCTAACTACATGCCAGTATGTTTTTTCTTGTTTGTCATTTTTCCTCATGGACATGCCACTATTGATTGCTTATGACCTTGGCAGATCTCTCACCATGATGATCCCAAGGTGGCAGTTCCGATCCGTGTACTCTTGCTCCTGGTCAAGAGGAGTAACTTTGCCTCTGCTCTGCTCTGCTCTTCTCTTCTCTTCCGTAGTAATTTCCGGTTGATTTGATCGTTTTGTCAGCATGGCCTTGGTTTGATATTTCTTCTCGCTATTACTCCCTCCGTCCGAAAATACTTGTCATCAAAATGAATAAAAAGAGATGTATCTCGAACTAAAATACGTCTAGATACATCCCCTTTTATTTATTTTGATGACAAGTATTTCCGGACGGAGGGAGTAGTATTTAGTAGTAGCATGTTGACTCCTAGTTGGTGGTTAGCCATGTCTTCGTACTCTTTTGACGTACTCAGTGCAGATTATTTTGTATGCTGCTTATAGTTCTGTTCTTATGTGCTGCTAGTACATGGTTAAACCCAGTCTTGTAGTCAGGGAAGAGAGCCATACGATTCCTGTCCGTTGGATGATTTGGATCAGTTATTCGTGTCTGGTGAACATCTGGTTGCAAGCACAGTCCACACAGATAGATTCCCTCTGCGCAAAACGGGCAAGGCAGAAGGACATGTCCTCTTCATCCTAGTTCAGTAGTTCGTCTCATGCTCCACATTCGGCTCCAAGCACGAAAACATGATCGTGGTTAGGACATGGCAAAGGGGTCCCCTGGGCCCTGGCTGTGCACACTTGAGCTTGTGAGTTGGTCACAAGCAGCACTCTATCTGGCTATCTCTGCCGAGAGTGGTGTTCATTTACTTGCCGGCAGGGAATCCGGAACACCCACCAAGCCTAGATCGCAGCTCATTTCTGGTTGCCCGAAGAGACAGAACAATGGCTTTTCCCGTGCATATGATGGATGGATACACTCCACAGAAAGAGCCAACCACACTATAGTGCTCATATGCTTTTCCCTCGGTCTCGTTTCCGCGGGTAAGTTTTGGGCACACGTGGTATGGCTCTCGGCCGTCCGCGAGACACACATCACCCTCACACCATCGGCTCATCGTCGTTTCGGTTGAACTAAAGCAAACATTTCTGGTGAAACGTCTCTAAATTTCATTTCGCAGTAAGCAGATAGTACCGGGCACCTAGAGTGCTGGCTGGGGTAGCCCAGGCAGACATGGAGAGTGGCGGAAGGTACTGAAAACTTGTCACAGATCGTGTTGGCTTCATCATGATTCGGGCATCGATTCACAAGGAGGCAAGGGGCAGGCAAATGGTACACCCCGTCCCTCTCGGGCAAGCGTACGGCCTCACCTGCGCCCCCAGCCCAGCGATCCAATAATGCCGTGCTGGCTGGGCCCGCCTGCCATGCTTGTCCGTCGGGCCATTGCCTTGCAGATAGACGCACACACACAGACATTCGCGCGCCGAGCAGGCAAGTAAATCGCGGAGGCCCACCACTAGATTCCCCGCTCACTGGATCAAAGCTGGAAGCGATTAAGATGTTGCGCATAGCCATCTGCAGATATGACGAATTAATCAATCAATCCCATCTCTTGGAGCGCATTATGCTAGCTTTCGGCGAGTAGAAAGGTGACAGCACCATACAACTCGAGATGGTAGTAGCACCGAGAGATTCTTCTCCCTCGAGTTAGTACTGCCGCCAAAAGATGAACGCTTGAATGGCACTAGTACATCCGTTCTCTCATGAACACGCAGAGGAGTGCGTTGATGCAGTCACTTGGGCCGTGTTTGGTTGCCGTTTGCTACAGTGTCTGCATCGCATACACTTTCCAACCTAGTCTGATTGAGCAAAAACATGCCCTAATACGCCATCTACAACTTGTTTGGTTACCTGCATCTAGTGTCCCTGCATTAGCTAATACGCAAGTGCACTTTGTTTGGCTGCCTGCATTGGCCCTAGCGGCACATGAACACGGCGTTTGGTTGCATACGACATACATGTTGTGCTTACCTTGTACCCTAGTTGGTGAGTTTACCCACAGTGATCACACCTAGCACATCAACGCCACAACACAGCAATAGTGATGAACTGGGCGAAGATGAAGTTCTTCAACTTCAGCCCAAACTGACGATCCACCTTAGCAGCTTCCACTTTGACACCTCCAACCTTGCCACTGTCAACACTGCTGCCTCCGTGCTTTCGCACCCAGGCGGAGTAAGCTTGTTCTGCTGTCTGCCTAGTCTTGAACCCTCTATAGTTGTTGTTGCTATACGATGCCACTTGTGCATTGGCTTCTTCCCATGAACTATAAACCCCTAGAACCTTATCGATGAACATGGCATACCACTTGCCCTAGCAATGCACAAGAGTAAGAGTAGAAGCAGCAAATCAATGGAGCACAAGTAGCAAGCAAAGTAGCACACAAACAACAATGGAGCAGAAGAGAAGTAAAGCATGCATGATCATACGGCATAGCAAGTTCAACCTAGCACTACCTTGGTGTTAACCTACCACCACATCCAAAAGAGGATGTTGTCCTACCACCGCAAGTTCACCATCATCGTGAGGGGTTAGTATATACCACCTCACCAAAATATACAGACCATCAAACAGTTTTTGAGCCCTAGCTACACAAAATGTACGTCGTCACCGTCATCATCGTCGTCGTCGCCATCGCCATCGCTGTCGGGGATCATGCACGCTCACAGGCAGCACTACTCTAGTAGTAGTGCTTGCCCAGCCAGCTCCTGAGCCATAGCACCCTGTGAGCGTTGGCCATGGCAACGAACCCAACACCCCGGGCCTTGTTGTCAAGAAGGTGGCTGAGAGCTGCCATGAGAGCCTCGTCGCTAAATCCACCCTGGGTCATGACAGCGCCATACAGGTCAGGGTGGACATCGAGGGGCTTGCACTCCCTGATGGTTGTTGCCACCTCCTTCACCGCCTCAGTCATGCTACAAAAGACATTGATCTCCTCCTCCATCAGGCCTCCTCTCTTCCTCTTCCTCTTCCTATCATGGACGGGGTCAAATGGCTTGTCGAAGGGCTTCGCAGCGGGCTTGTCAGGGTCATCAAGGACCTCGACGTTCGGTGTCCTAGGGAAGTCTGGCATGAGAGAACCAAGAGGCTCACCCGAGCCCATGGCATGCTTCCCAGTTGCCAGCCCGAAGGAGAAGATGTGCTGCATCTGGCTGTAGTTCTGGATGGGTGTGTTGAGGAACTCAACGTCCCTTGGGTGGTCCTAAGAATGAAACACAAGTGTTGTTAGTTGCGATTAGGAGTAGGCAATGGTGGACAGTATGAAAAGGAAGAGGGCTGTGAGCTAATCGGGCCGGCGTAGTGCTCTGCCTCCGGAACTATGGAGCAAGTGTTCTCATCCCATGAGGCACCGCTAAGGTCTCTCAACTTGGACACTTGGATCCATCGACTTCTCCACTTCCTCAGGTGGTTGTACACCTGGGTGGCAGACACCTCTTGCCCACAGAACTCGAACACATGCTTCGCAACGATGTTCAAGTGCACCTCCTTGAAGCCCTTGTCAGTCCTAACTCCACTAGAGATGAGCTCACACATCTTGTTCAGCACGAACGTGGACATGAGCGGCTGCCACTTCATGTTGTTCGACCTACCATCCTTCTTTGCCTTTGCTCCTGCTAGCTTGATTGCAGCAGCAGCAGCAGGAGGAGTTGGCTCAACAAGCACTATTGGCACATAGAGGGAATCAGACTCGAACACCTCTGAATCAGGTGCCATCTTAGACATAGGCTGCGAGTCCTTGACAAACGATGGAGCAAACTGGCTGTCGGATATGACAAGGGCCTGACTAAGATCTTGCGTCTGCGTGGTCGTGTCCTACAATCGTAGCACACATTAACAATGAGCATAGCACACAACATACCGGACAATTCATGAAAGCAGGAGCATGCATGTACATGGTTCATCACTATCATAGCAAGCACATGCTTCATCACTATCATACTAAGCATACCGGACAATCTATGAGCAGGAACATACATCTACAACAAACAACATGCTACAAATGGACCACCAATAGCTACAAATCACAGATCTAAGCATGATTCAACACAAGCACAAGGTTCAACTTCAAACTCTAGTACTAATCTAGCCTACCACATGCTTGAATATCTAGCCCTACCACGAATTGCAACCGCAGCATAGCAACCAACCATATCAGCTCACAGATCAGACCACTAATCAACCATGCATCTAGATCAAACCCTAGCTGCAGCTCAGATCTAGCTAGAAGGAACAGAGAGAAAGGGGGATTGAACTCACAGAGGCCATGGCTGCAGCTTGAGGACGAGGGGGGACGGTCGTGGAAGATGAACGCTGGCCGGTGAAGGAGCGCCGACGCTGTGGACCGCCGGCCGATGAAGATGCGCCACTTACCTGCTCGTCGGTGCCGATGCGCGTCGGCGGGAAAGCTCGAACGGAGGAAGAATGGTGGCGGGAGTTGGACGGTGAGGGAGGGGCTAAATAGGGGTGGACTCAGCGGGAGGTGAGCCGAAATCCTCCCGCCGATTTTTCAGCGACGCGGGCGAGCTCGCGCCATCTCCCCTGCTCGCACGAGGGGAGAAGCGCGTCGCCCTCCCCTGCCTCGCCTGAGCCAGGCTCGCGAGCTACTGCCGATTCGTACATTTCCCCTGGGCCTGGCCTGAACGTGTTTTAAGTTTCGTGCGATGCGGGCCGCACAGTGAACACAGGTAACCAAACGGGTCACTTTCTTCTCGCGCGGGCCAGGCTGGACCTGATGCGGGCAACCAAACACGCCCTTGGAATTAGTCTGCATTCCACCAAACGAACCGAGCAAAATCGCCATATAATTTGCCAAATTTGAATAGATGCAGTGGCAGTTGCCCAAAAAAATAAAAGGTCGTCGTCATTTTGCAAAGTCGTGGTCTGCAAGGAAGAGATGCACTGTGGCATGCGTCAATGAAGGTGACCAGAGCCTATTCTATACGTACCCTTAAGCGCCCTTGTTTAAAATTGTGATGTCCTCTCGTGTCTCTTCGGCGCAAGGGTAAGGCGGATATGGTTTTATATGGTAATAATCGTCGCCGTCTTGCTTGTGTATGTACGTATGCTCACGTTGCAGCGCATATATTTTCCCCACCGAACGGAAAGCTACAAACATACACTACACACTGATCGCCGATGCGCACAAGTGAAAGACACGTATGTGGCAACCTGTGAACATTGACGTGTCTAACCTAACTTTTTCCTTGTTTTCAGTTACTTGTATATGTATTCTTTCCTTCCAAAAAGGAGGGCTTTCGGTTACTTGTGTAAAGGCCAGCCTCTCATTTGCAGGATGATTGGGTTCTATATATTCTATGGTTATGCTTTCAGCTCAAGGCGTAGTGTTGTATGTACGCATGGGCATCGCGATGTGCCTGTGTTCCAAAATGCATAATTCCACAAGTGGTAGCGCCAATAAGCAAGCACATTGTCACATGGAGGGCTTGCCAGCTTGTCTGTCTGTCCAGCCCCCTTGTCAAACCGGCTCATGACTCTGTCTTGCACCAAAACAAAAGCTATAATAATTGTATTCAACATCGGGAGCTGCTTCGGACTTTTGAGCTATAGCCCACTTCTATACTGCCCGGCGCTGCTGCTTATATGCATATATATTCTCATCCCTTGCCTCATTCCAAGCGCTTGGCTTTGCTTTGGTAGGTCTGCTCGCTCAGCGCGCGTACCAGCTTGTCTCTTCTTCCTCGTCGCCTTAAAAGGGTCTCTGCGCTTAGCAGTGCGCTTTTCACTTCACAGCTTCACTTCTCAGAGACTTCAGAGAGGGAGAGAGAGAGAAACCGTGGTGAGTGAGATAGAGATAGAGAGAGAGGAGAGGATGGGGAGGAAGCTAGGGCTGGACAGGGTGATGGACTGCTTCTCGCTCTCCGTGTGCGCCAACGCTTGCGTCTGCGTGCACGCGGTGGAGGACGAGGACGAGGAGAACGAGGGGAAGGCCCTGGTGAGCGCTCAGCTGGACGAGCTGCTCAAGCTCAAGGACTTCGGCGGTGGGGCTAAGACTCTTGCTTTCCATCTAGAGCCAAAGGTAAACAAGAATTAACACCCGTTCTATCTCTCTATCTAAGATGCCTCTGCGCAATATGACTGCTAATATTCACTATGGATGCAGACGGTGGAGCTGAGGGTGTCTATGCACTGCTACGGATGCGCCAGGAAAGTTCAGAAGCACATCTCCAAGATGGAAGGTACCATGCGAATGAGAACTGAACCTTTAAATCCCTTTTTCTGGGCAGTGTTGAGATTCTTTTGATAGGGCATAGCGCTAAAAGCATACAATCATGCTGGGGTACTTGTTATCATAAAGTTCCTATCATTTCACTCCAAACAAAAAAGGAATTGCAGAGTTATACAACTGATCTGGCCGTAAGCTTTGCTAATTAGTATTTGCTAAGGGACAATTTGACAGCTTGTTTTTCCCTTGATTATCTCACTGCAATTGCTTTCGAACCTGCACAAAACACAGCAGATTTCTGCCTCGTATCTTACTCTAATTTTCTCTTCCCTTTCAACGCCACCTCGATCTGTTGATAATTCAGACACAGCCAAGTGTGCATTTCTTACTGCTAGTATCATTTGATAAAAAAAATAGAGCGTCCATTTCTTATTAGTGGGGCGGAGCATTAGTATATCCAGGATCTCGAAGTAATCAACGACTGTGAAATGTGGCGCGGATCTGTAGACCGGATAATAATTTTTCAAAGTAGAGTGGCGTGGTAGCCACCACATGGGCGGGCGTCAGGGTCACGGGGATAGGAGCGCAACGTCTCAGAAGTCCAGAAGCATTTGGAGCAGAGATAAGTCGCGGCCTGTCAGACGCGGGAAGGAAGAATGCCCTGCGGCAGGTTGACCTCTGTGCGCCAAAACCACAAATTTCGTTGGTGGGCTAACGGCAAGCAGTGAACACAGCCACGCAGCCATGAGCTCCGGAAAGCTTTTAGGTTAGTACACTAGTGCTACTGTTGTGGCATGTTACGGAATAAAACACAGGTCACCGACTCACCGCAGCCGGTGGCGGGTGGGCGTCGATCCATTCGGGCCTGTGCGCCTGAGTCGGCTCCGGTGTCGTTTTGGCCGCGCGGGCAGGCGACCACGCGCCGATGCATGCATGGATCGGGTTTCCTCCGTTCGCGATACCGCTGCCGCTGCGTGCATGCATGCTTGGGCACATCTGCACATGTTGGTACCCTGCGCATGTGCAGGGCTGCCTGCCTTTTCTGGAAAAACTTTTGGTGGCACCGCCAGTCGGTGGCCAAGATTTGGTACTACTGCTGCAGCGCTCATAATTGACCTGCCACCACCTTCGCCGTACGGCTCATTGTCGGAGCATCCGCATCGATAGATATTAACAGTTCGGTTAAACTATGTTGATTTACGAGCCGAGTCCCGGACGGCGATCATCTCTGACATTTGGTTATTTTCCTGTGTGTCCAGGTGTGTCGTCGTTTGAGGTGGATTTGGAGAAGAAGAAGGTGGTCGTGACGGGGGACGTGACGCCCTACGAGGTGCTGCAGAGCGTCTCCAAGGTGATGAAGTTTGCGGAGCTGTTGGTGGCCCCCAACTCCCCGACTCCGAGTAGATAGACGATGATGATGATAAGCTGATAGGGTGGGTGTGACACATTTCACTTGATAAAATCAAATATATTTGCCATGATTCTCACGCAAGGCACGCGTACGTAGCAGCACACGCAACCATGGCAAGGAAGAAACTATTGGAAGTTTGTAACTAGGGGGCCAAGGAAGAAGAGCGTGCTTGGGTCTAATTGGTTGATCTATCTACTCAAAAGGAAAAAAAAACAGCCCGTCCATACATGCAGCATGCTTTAGGGCGCGTTTGGTTACCTGCATCGTTTTTTGCCACTTTGCATACTTGTCCCAGTTGGACCTAACAGAGCATATGCAGAGAAAAAACCAACATCTGCATGTTGATTGGTTGCCTGCATGCCTTCTCCTTGCATCGTAACGATGCCTCTACGCACCGTGTTTGGTTGCTCGCATTGTATGTGGTCAGATGAATGCATGTTGTTTGGTTGCTTGCATGAAATATGATTAAGACTTAACAGCTACCCATAACACACATTGTTACACTAGAGTACCTCGACTGCATCGGTGGGCGGTGGTTGCGGCGCCGCGTCCGACACGACGAGCACAGAGTCGCCGACGAGCAATCTCATCGGCGACACGGTGAGCTATTTGCTAGCGCCCTCGCCGCAGAGCAAGTCCGTGTGGATTAACGAATAGGAAGGCATTGGGGCATAGGACGATGGTGGAAAATGCAGCGTGCTAGCCATGGCATCCTCAGTGTAGTAGAACGTGGAGGAGTAGGTGAAAGAAATATGCCCTAGAGGTAATAATAAAGTTTTTATTTTATATTTGCTTATTTCATGACAAATGTTTATTATTCATGCTAGAATTGTATTAACCGGAAACTTGATACATGTGTGGATACATAGACAAAACATCGTGTCCCTAGTAAGCCTCTACTAGACTAGCTCGTTAATCAAAGATGGTAAAGTTTCCTAACCATAGACATGTGAATTGTCATTTGATGAATGAGATCACATCATTAGGAGAATAATGTGATGAACTAGACCCATCAGTTAGCTTAGCATAATGATTATTCAGTTTTATTGCTACTGCTTTCTTCATGTCAAATACATATTCCTCCGACTATGAGATTATGCAACTCCCGGATACCGGAGGAATGCCTTGTGTGCTATCAAACGTCACAACGTAACTGGGTGATTATAAAGATGCTCTACAGGTATCTCCGAAGGTGTTTGTTGGGTTGGTATAGATCGAGATTAGGATTTGTCACTCCAAGTATCAGAGAGGTATCTTTGGGCCCTCTCGGTAATGCACATCATAAGAAGCCTTACAAGCAATGTGACTAATGAGTTAGTTGCAGGATGATGCATTACGGAACGAGTAAAGAGACTTGTCAGTAACGAGATTGAACTAGGTATGAAGATACTGATGATTGAATCTCGGTAAGTAACATACCGATGACAAAGGGAATAACGTATGTTGTCATAGCGGTTCGACTGATAAAGATCTTCGTAGAATATGTGGGAGCCAATATGAGCATACAGGTTCCTCTATTGGTTATTGACCGGAGAGGTGTCTCGGTCATGTCTACATAGTTCTCGAACCCGTAGGGTCCGCACGCTTAACGTTTGATGACGATTTGTATTATATGAGTTATGTGATTTGGTGACTGAAGGTTGTTCGGAGTCCCGAATGAGATCACGGACATGACGAGGAGTCTCAAAATGGCCGAGAGTTAGAGATTGATATATTGGATGATAGTATTCGGACACCAGAAGTGTTCCAGAATGTATCGGGTACATATCAGAGTACCGGGGGGGGGGGGATATGGGCCATATGGGCCCTAGGAGGGAGCACACCAGCCCACAAAGGGGTGTCCCCCAAGGAAGGAGGCCGAATAGGATTAGGAGGAGGGGGCGGCGCCCCTCTCGTTCCTTCTCCCCCTTCCGGTAAAAGGAAAGGGGGGAGGCCGAATCCAACCAGGGGCCCAAGTAGGACTCCTCCTACTTGGGCGTGCCTAGGGTTGTCTCCCTCCCCGTCCCTCCTTTATATACGTGGGGAGGGGGCGCCTAGAACACACATCAACTATTCCTAGCCGTGTGCGGCGCCCTCCTCCACAGTTTACGCCTCCGGTGATATTCTCGCAGTGCTTAGGTGAAGCCCTGCTCGGATCACTTCACCATCACCGTCACCACGCCATCGTGCTGACATAACTCATCTACTTCCTCGACACTCTGCTAGATCAAGAGCTCGAGGGACGTCATCACGTTGAACGTGTGCAGAACTCGGAGGTGTTGTATGTTTGGTACTTGATCGGTCGGAACGAGAAGAAATTCGACTACATCAACCGCGTTAGCAAACACTTTCACTTTCGGTCTACGGGGGCACGTGGACACGCTCTCCCCCTCTCGTTGCTATGCATCTCCTAGATAGATCTTGCGTGAGTGTAGGAATTTTTTTGAAATTGCATGCTACGTTTCCCAACAATGGCATCCGAGCCAGGTCTATGCGTAGATGATATGCACGAGTAGAACACAAACAGTTGTGGACGGTGATCGTCATACTGCTTACCACCAATGTATTATTTTGATTCGGCAGTATTGTTGGATGAAGCGTCCCTGACCAACCTTACATGACCACGTTCATGAGACCGGTTCCACCAACAGACATGCAACTAGTTTTCCATAAAGGTGGCTGGCGGGTGTCTGTTTCTCCAACTTTAGTTGAATCGATTTTGACTACGGCCGGTCCTTGTTGAAGGTTAAAACAACAAACTTGATAAATCACAGTTGTGGTTTTGTGCCGTAGGTAAGAATGATACGTCTCCAACGTATCTATAATTTTTGATTGCTCCATGCTACTTTATCTACTGTTTTGGACTATATTGGGCTTTATTTTCCATTTTTATATTATTTTTGGGACTAACCTATTAACCGGAGGCCCAGCCTAGAATTGCTATTTTTTTTGCCTATTTCAGTGCTTCGAAGAAACAGAATAACGGAGTCCAAATAGAATGAAACCTTCGGGAATGTTATTTTCTCACCGAACGTGATCCAGGAGACTTGGACCCTGCTCCAAGGAACAACCAAAGCGGTCACGAGGGTGGGGGGCGCGCCCTCCCCCCTGGGCGCGCCCCCTACCTCGTGGGCCCCCTGTTGCTCCACCGACGTACTCCTTCCTCCTATATATACCTACGTACCCCCGACAGATCGAAGGGAGAGCCAAAAACCTAATTCCACCGCCGCAACTTTCTGTATCCACGAGATCCCATCTTGGGGCCTGTTTCGGAGCTCCGCCGGAGGGGGCATCCACCACGGAGGGCTTCTACATCAACACCATAGCCTCTCCGATGAAGTGTGAGTAGCTTACCTCAGACCTACGGGTCCATAGCTAGTAGCTAGATGACTTCTTCTCTCTTTTTGGATCTCAATACAATGTTCTCCCCCTCTCTTGTGGAGATCTATTCGATGTAATCTTCTTTTTGCGGTGTGTTTGTTGAGACCAATGAATTGTGGGTTTATGATCCAGCTTATCTATGAATAATATTTGAATCGTCTCTGAATTCTTTTATGTATGATTGAGTTATCTTTGCAAGTCTCTTCGAATTATCCATTTGGTTTGGCCAACTAGATTGGTAGTTCTTGCAATGGGAGAAGTGCTTAGCTATGGGTTTGATCTTGCGGTGTCCTTACCCAGTGACAGAAAGGGTTGCAAGGCACATATTGTATTGTTGCCATCGAGGATAACAAGATGGGGTTTTTATCATATTGCATGAAGTTATCCCTCTACATCATGTCATCTTGCTTAAGGCGTTACTCTGTTTTTAACTTAATACTCTAGATGCATGCTGGATAGCGGTCGATGAGTGGAGTAATAGTAGTAGATGCAGAATCGTTTCGGTTTACCTGTCCCGGACGTGATGCCTATATACATGATCATACCTAGATATACTCATAACTATGCTCAATTCTATCAATTGCTCAACAGTAATTTGTTCACCCACCGTAGAATACTTATGCTCTTGATAGAAGCCACTAGTGAAACCTATGGCCCCCGGGTCTATTCTCATCATATCAATCTCCATTACTTTAATACTTGCTTTGTTTTTACTTTTCCTTTTACTTTTCACTTTGCATCTCTATATCAAAAATACCAAAAATATTATTTATCATCTCTATCAGATCTCACCCTCGTAGGTGACCCTGAAGGGATTGACAACCCTTAATCGCGTTGGTTGCGAGTAGCTATCGTTTTGTGCAGGTACGAGGGACTTGTGCGTGGCCTCCTACTGGATTGATACCTTGGTTCTCAAAAACTGAGGGAAATACTTACGCTACTTTACTCCACCATCCTCTCCTCTTCGGGGAAATCCAACGCAGTGCTCAAGAGGTAGCAAGAAGAATTTCTGGCGCCGTTGCCGGAGAGGTCTTCGCTCAAGTCAAGACATACCAAGTACCCATCACAAACCCATCTCCCTCGCATTTACATTATTTGCCTCTCGTTTTCCTCTCCCCCACTTCACCCTTGGCATTTTATTCGCCCTCTCTTTCCCAATCTTCTTCTCCTCTCTTTTGCTTTCCCTTTCGTTTGCTCGTTTGGTTGGAGTAGATGCTTGTTTATTGCTAAACAGAGAACCTAAGATCTATGGATCCTCACTCGCTTGCTAATCTATTTAAGAGATCCAATTATGTTGAACCAATTGCTAGTGAGTTTTGTGCACTAGATTATCTTTATGAAGTTTTGCTTGAAATTCGTGAATCTGAAAATTGTGATGACGAACTTTATGAAGTGATTCACGATAATTCCTTGAATAAAAAGCATGATTGCAATGATTTTCCTATAAATTCTCTTGATGTCAATTGTGCTAATAATATGCAAAATCCTAAGCTTGGGGATGCTAGTTTGGCTATGTCTACTACTTGTTTCAATGATCATGATTGGGGTGATTCTTCTTATAACCTTGAAAATTTATTTAAGCCCCATGATGAATATGAGATTGATAATAGTGTTTGCAATAATATTGAAAGTGGGAT